TTGGGCTCAACGTTACCGAATGAGCTAAGGGGTGACTGGAACCCGGCCCTTTCCAGGCCTAGTCCAACACTCTAGGCCCTGCATCACCCTGGGTCTTAGAATGGCCTACCCAAGGGTGCCTGGTGAATTGGTGGCTGAGAGAATCATTTAGGTCAGAGGTGTCAAACTCATTTGTTATGAGGGCCAGATGTGATTATAAATATCACTTTGTTGGGCCAGGCCACGTGTGCCATAAAATGTAATGCCAGGTACCAGAGATATAAGCTTTATAAAGGACACGGGCAAGCCCAATTAACGATATTATTTTGTACTCAAAATACAAACATGCTTAAAACATTCTTACAATATTTCCTTACGGTACCTCCCTGATGCCCGCCCTCTTGCTTCCACCACCCATTAGCATTGGGACAGTATACAGGGACATAATGCACAGCCTCTGATCTGTCAACAGTTGCTTGTGGGCTGGATAAGAGCCCTGGATAGGCCAGTTCTGGCCCACAGGCCATATGTTTGACACCCCTGATTAAGGTTTTTCTACCACCGGGGACTCAAAACAGTTCACAAGGAAACACAAAAATGCAATTTAGATGAACACAAAGAGAGCCAGTTTGGTGTAGTGGTTAAGTGCGCGGACTCTAGGAGAACCGAGTTTGATTCCCCACTCTTCCACTTGCGGCTGCTGGATGACCTTGGGCAAGCCATAGTTCTGTCAGAGCTGTTCTTGAAAAAGAGCCGTTTGTGTCAGAGTTCTCTCAGCCCCACCTACCTCACAGGGTGTCTGTTGTGGGGAGGGGAAGGGAAAGGAGTTTGTAAGCCGCTCTGAGACTCCAAGCGAAGGACGGGGTATAAATCCAATCTCCTCCCCTTCTTATAGAATATGCCAAGATGCTGGGCTGATCCTGGAACCACTGGCCTGGCTCAGCCAGAGCCACCAGCTATGAGCCCTGGGCCAAGATCACTGGTTCGTGCTGAACGGCCCATGCCTCTAGTCACCCACAGGCTTAAGTACCTGTAGTGCAGGGATATGGAAACTGCATGGATCTAGGTGGGGGGTTCCCAAGATTCTCCCCTCCTCTGAGGAGACCTGAGACGTTGCCTTTGCCACTATGGCCACTATGTTGTGCTACATCTTTCATGGATGTGTATATTAATACAGAGCAGAAGTCTCCACGCTTTTTGAGCCTGCGGGCACTTTTGGAGTTCTGACAGAGCCTGATGTGTGCAACCTAGGGCTGCCAACCTCCAGGTGGGGCCTGGAGATCTCCTGGTATCAGAATTGATCTCCAGACGACAAAGATCAGTTCCCCCAGAGGAAATGGCTGTTGTGGAGGGGGGACTCTATGGCATTGTACCCTGCCGAGGCCCCTCCTTCCCCAAACTCCACTGCCCAAATCTCCAGGTCTTTCCCAACCCAGAAAGCTGGCAATATGGCTGCCGCAGGCCACAAAACGGCTGCCGCAGCCTGCCTTCAGTCACACCATGGAGATCCTCATGCCGCGCTGGCAGCTGCCGCCAAAATGATGTTTTGAAAGACTGCACAGCCAATCAGCTCTCTAATGATTACCCAGAAGCCTTGCTGGGCAAAAGCCCCCACCTGGTTCCGCCCACTTCCTAAAAACTCATAGTGGGCACCCGGGGAGTTGTCGGGGGCATGTGTGCGCTGTGATTTAGAGCATCCATGCCTTTGTCACTGAGGACTGTGGGCTGCTTCCCACCTCACAGTTTTGAGGCAGCCCCCTAAGACGTTTCAAGTGCACACAGGAATATATGAAGTACGAAACGCAACAGAGAAGTATTTGCTAGCCAGTGTCGTACAGGAGCACTTGCCAGGGAGATGGACAATTTGTCGCTCTCTGCTGTGCACTTGCGTGTGGCGAGCCCAGGTCAGATGTTGTACAATGTGGGAAAGGCTTTCTTTCACAGCTTGAAGGTCCCAGTGGCAGCTCTGCCTTGGAGAGTGAGCACAGAAATCCGCTGCTGCTGCCTCTCAGTCTCTGTTCCGGCGACTCTTTGCCAAGTGCCTGCCTTTGTCTATGGGGCAAACCATCCGAAGAAATCATTAATCCATGCCAGCCTGCGCCTTCTCACTTCCTTGTTCCTTGTTCCACCTCTTGCTGCTGACAAGGGGTGAAGTACACCACATGACAACAGGCTAAGCTTGCAGCCATGGAGGACAGCCGGGAAAGGAGTCTGGGGACCAGGAGCGATGAAGCAGGTATGGGGGGTAAGCTTCCTCCTCTTCTGGCTGGGTTCAAGGATTTCTAGCAGGTTTATTCCACTGTCTCAGTTGTAACTCTTTCACTGTCAGCAAGATTATTTTCTCAGCTCCTGCTGAGCATGAAGCATACACCACACAGGGCAGTGGGTTTTAAAATGGCTTTAGACTAAGAGATGGGTGGCTTGCCTTCAAAGGTAAGGGGCAGCCAGTGTAATGTAGGTATTACACGCAATGGGACTGGGCAGACTCGGGTTCAAATGCCCTGGTGTGCCATGGAGCTCTCAGGGTATAGGGTTGCCAGCCTGGGGCCTGGAGATCTCCCGCTTTTACAACTGATCTCCAGCTGACAGAGATCAGCTCCCCTGGAGAAAATGGCTGCTTTGAAGGGTGGACTCTGTGCCATTGGACCATGCTGAGGCCCCTCCCCTCCTGGATGCACCCCCAAAGTCTCCAGGTATTTTCCAACCCAGACCTGGCAA